GACAACAGAGGGCTCTTCAATGTAGCAGGCAAAGGTCTAAGAAGAACCAATGGCTGGAAGTTGAAGCTCGACAAATTTAGAAATAAGGAGGCAAATTTTTAAAAGTGAGAGTAATTCATAGAATCATAGAATCTCGGGGTTGGAAGGGACCTCAGGAGGTCATCTAGTCCAACCCCCTGCGCAAAGCAGGGCCAATTCCCAACTAAATCATCCCAATTAATCACTGGAACATGCTCTCAAGGGTTCCGTTGCTGGAAATCAAGATAGGATGTTTTTCTCAAAGATCTGCTCTAATTCAAACAGGAATAAGTCAGGAAATCCCATGGCCCGTGTTATGCAGGTCAGACTAGATGATCACTGTGCTACTTTCTGGTCTTATATCTATGAATCTGTGGATTTCTCCTCAGTGCTGCCTCCCACCTTTCATGAGAATATGAGTGTCCTTAGAGATAGAGCACATACTGCTGCTGCTGCCTTTGGGATCCGGATTCCCATACATCCATCCTTTGGGATCTCCAGGGCTTATCATTTGTCTGTCCGCTCTGTGGGGAGGTGCTCTGGCTCTGACCCTGCATTGTCTAGGAAGACCACCCGAGAAGCAGCCAGGCTCTTCTCCTTTAAATCGAAGAGGAGAATATTTTCCAGATTTCTTTCCCTCTCCTGCTCCATCCGCCCGCCTGAGATGCTGCCATTGTGCTGAAATCCTTGGGAACGAGTCTGCCCTATGACTCATGCTCTGGTCTCTCTGTAGACAAGAACTTGGAAGAAACACTCGTCATTCGTCTCTGACACGCTTCTGGGACTTTCCAGCTCCAGTCTGTCTTGTATGACTGGGCTCGGGGAGGCTGCAGTGAGATCTGTGTCTCCTGGGCACTGCCCTACTTTTTAGGTTAGCAAACACCAAGTCCAGCTCAACTCTTCTTCAGGAGATAAAACAGCCTCTTGGATAATGCCCTCTGCATTGGAGGGGACAGGCAGTGGGACACAGAGCCTTTCACCCCTAGGTCACCAAGTCCAGTCCAGTGGCTGACAGCTGTTACCACCCAACAGCTGTTCGGTGGCCTGTGATTAGTTGAGAGCCTCTGTCCAATTCCTAATGGTGTTTTGGCAGCACCACAGCTGGCTTCCTTATGGGCAGTCTCTGCAGAAAGGCCCAGGACAGAACGTGCCGTAGAGATTGAGGGCTCTTCTCATCCCAGGGGCTGGGGCTGCGGCACAAGGCTAGGGCATGCGGGGCAGGCAGAGGGTGAGGGGTGGCATCCACGGGCTGCGCTGTACCCGCTCAGTGGCCACGAGGCCGTCATCTCCAGGGCTGTCAATCTGGCACCGTTCACCGGCACTAAGCTCACCAAAGGAGCCGGGTGCGACAGGAACAGACGGAAAGGGACCAGAGTGGCCTTTCCCCATATGCATTCAGCTTCCTGATGCAGAATGGGAGCCCAAGGTGCAGCCCTCTCAGGGAATTCTGGGGGAGTGTCGGGGTGGGGACACAGGACTGGGGATCAGGTCCTATTCCCAGTGCCGCCCAACTCGCTGTGGGAATGTGGTTAAGTCACTTTCCCACACTGTGCCTCAGTTTCCCCATCACCGAGCCTGAGTTCGTAACTGCGGCGCTCTGAGCACATCGGATGGTGCTACAGAAGGGCCACGATTGCTATTATACCCCAGTGATGGGCTGTACAGTCAGGCGGGAGGGCGGGTTTAAGGAGCAGCTCTGGGCACAGGAGGATCTGCCCAGCCGTGCCCGCTGGGCGTGCTCTCAATGGAGGGGGCATTTAAAAGGGCAGCACAGCTCAGTCAGAGTGGTCAGTGCCAAGGAGCCCGCAGCAGCCCAGCACTGCCCTGAAGCTGATCTCAAGACAGAGCCACAAGCCAGGGCAGAAGAGAAGCGGAGCATCTGCCCGTGGGGGAGGGACCTCCAGCCCCCTTCTGGGGGAATGCATTGAAGGCCATTCGGCAGGCCTCTGCCGTGCCTCTGAAGAGGAAGTGACCCGGGAGTAGGCTGGTGGCCCAGGCCCCACACCTGGACTGCCTGCCCCAGGGCCCTGCGTTAGAACCCAGAGGAGTGGGAGGGCTCGGGTTCTCTATCACCAACCCTGGACTTGAACCACGACATGCTCCCACCAGCCCCAGGTGGTCTGGCTAGCCAGTGCTCGGACACTGGGGGACGCGGTCTAGGGCGAAGGTCTCGGTCACAGTCCCTTCCACGGGAACTCCTCCATGGGACTCCAGCAGGTGGACTGAGTGAGACAGGTCAGCGCTCTGGCTGATGGGCTGTGTGTGAAATTCAGCTGAACGCAGCGTTGTGTACTACGGTTTCAGTCAGGCTGAGCCAGGGGTTGGACTACCAGACAGAAAACCAGTAAGTGACGTGCTTAGGCAATAAAACCTGCCATGGAAACCCCGATAGGGAGAGAGGAAAGCCCCAACGCTGCCTCCAATATCCCCCACCCGCCACGGCCTCCTGCAGCCACCCCCTGGGCTCCCATGTCACCCACCCACACCCCTCATGGCCTCCTGCAGCCAGACACCCCCTGGGCTCCCACGTCACCCACCCCCACCCCTCACGGCCTCCTGCAGCCAGACACTCCCTGGGCTCCCATGTCACCCACCCCCACCCGCCACAGCCTCCTGCGGCCAGACACCCCCTGGGCTCCCATGTCACCCACCCACACCCCTCACGGCCTCCTGCAGCCAGACACCGAGCGGGAGTGAGGGACCGTCCGCCAAATTGCTGCCGAATAGCTGGACCTGCCGCCCCTCTCCGGAGTGGCCGCCCCAAGCACCTGCTTGCCAAGCTGGTGCCTGGAGCCGGCCCTGTCTCTAGGGATCATGGCCCCCATCTCTGAGCAGGGACCCGGCCATGATCGCCTGCCTTTTGGCCCGGGGCACTGTGGGATCCGGTGGGTTTTGTCCCCAGCGAGCGGGGTCTGCAGAGGTTTCAGGTAGGGCTCAGAGGAATGGAGCTGTCTGCACGAGGCAGTGAGCAGGGTTCCCATACCACAGGGCTCGATCCAATGCCCATGGAACTTGGCTGACTTCAATGCGTGTTAGACCAGGCCCAAGCTAAGCAAGGCCTCTGTCCTGTGTGCGAGCAGGTTCTCCCACTGGGCCCAGCATGCTGCTGTCTGCACCCTGGGCACTGCGCTCGCAATATGCGCTCTCTGGGCTCCTCCCGGGCGCTGGCTGTGAGTTTGAGCTGCCTAGCGGCGTGGCTGGCTTTGGGAAGGTCGTTCCTCTGCACAGGCCCAGTTGTAACACTGGCTCCCCAAGCAGCTATTACAGCAGGCTGTAAATTTCACTCCACTGCTCAGCACTTGCCCTGCTTTTCGGTTCCCATGAAAACAACAGGGGCCATAAACTAACAGCGGGAGCAATAAACTCCGGATTGTTTTTTCATCTGGACAGCAAAGCAGCATTTGCAGTTGACACGTGGTGGGCAAGGGGCCAGATCAGAGAGCAGCAGGGAAACCACAGAGGCCTGAAGCCAGCTGTGCTCACACCAGGCTGGTAGGAAAAACTGGCTACTCAAGGATCAGGTCCCCCACAGCGCTGGACTCTAGGGGCCCAATCTCCGCTCCCACACACTGCTCGAACTAAGTCAGTGGAGTTACTGCCAGGGGAGTGACAGGAGAGGCAGGTGCTTTGTATCCAATACAGCTGCTGTCTACTGGACACAAAGGCCTAGGGGAACCCTGAACTCCAGCATAACGTGCCGCTCCAGTTGCCCAACTAAAAGCAACTCCAGCTCCCCAGTTTCCACTGGCCTAAATGAAACTGGAGACTCAGGTAGGGTTCTGGGCTCCAGGCCTGAGCCTGAATCAAGCCTCCAAAGCCACCATCTTTTCCCACCTCCGACACACTGCTCTGCTGGGTGACCTTGGGCAAGTCACTTCCCCTCTCTGCGCCGCCACTCCACCTCCCGCCTATCGTCGGTCTGCTCTATTTACATTAGCTCTTGGGTGGCATGGGCTGGCTCTTCCCACGTGCCTGCACAGCGTCTAGCACAACAGGGGGGCTCTCGAGTCACCCCTCCCAGGTATTTGTGTTACAGCAGCACCTCGGAGCCCAGGCCCAGGCCAGCACTCCTCTGTGCCAGGTGCGGTACAAATGCAGAACAAAGACACTGGTTGGAAATCTAGTTCGGAATGTTGCCCCAGTCTTTTATAATGGGCCAAGCCGAAGAGTCACTCATTCCAGATCCAGACCTGGCTGCAGAGTTTTCCATTTGAGTCCATCTCTGCTGGTTCTCCCCCTTCACTGTAACACAAACATTGCGCCTCAATGAGCTGAGCTTTCTACCCAAGTCCATCTCCAGGACATGCAGGACTCTCTAGACCAGGGATCGGCAACCTTGCAGAAGCGGTGTGCCGAGTCTTCATTGATTCACTCTGAGTTAAAGTTTCGCGTGCCAGTCATACATTTTAACGTTTTTAAAAGGTCTCTTTCTAGAAGTCTATAATATATAACTAAACTATTGTTGTATGTAAAGTAAATAAGGTTTTTAAAATGTTTAAGAAGCTTCATTTAAAATTAAATTAAAATGCAGAGCCCCCCCAGACTGGTGGCTAGGACCCGGGCAGTGTGAGTGCCATTGAAAATCAGCTCGCGTGCCGCCTTCGGCTAGGGTGACCAGACAGCAAATGTGAAAAATCAGGATGGGGGTGGGAGGGTAATAGGAGCCTATATAAGAAAAAGACCCAAAAATTGGGACCGTCCCTATAAAATCGGGACATCTGGTCACCCTACCTTCGGCACACATGCCATAGGTTGCCTACCCCTGCTCTAGACTTTGGATAGACTCAGCAGGCTGAAAGACAGAGAACACGGGAGCAAACAGCCTGGACTGGGAAGATAATACACACTCCATCCACCCCCACATGGTTCTATCACGCCCCCACCCCCCTGGGCACGCTTCAATGACAGTCGGACATTTGCTCATACCAGCTGGCTCGGAAGCCAACGTGAAAGAAACAAAGCAAAAAGGGACCAGACGATACCTTCTTTGCTCCTGTCAAGGCTGCTTTCTGGAGCTTGTTGTAACAGTACTTGGCGTAAGTGCTTATTGCCACCCCTACAAGAGAAAACAGAGAGCAGAGAGTCAAGCCAGACGTTCCAGGAAAAAGGAAAAGCAGGAACCCTGTGATCCATTGTAGAGGCCCTCGGGAAAGCTCAGGGATGGGGCTTCAGAAGGGAGTGCACAAGGCTTCGGCACCACTGAGGTCCCACGTCCGCTCTGGATGCTTCGCGCCTCTCGGGACGCGCTCAGGGCTGATACAGGACCTCAGTGATGCTTGGGCCTTCTGCTGATCCTTTTGCACAGGGGTGGGTTTCATCCAAAATTGCACACAAAGCTGGTTTGAGCAGCACCCGCACAGTGAGGCACCCAGCGCTTGACTGGTGCACGCCAGGCCCTAAAAGCTGCTTACCTCCAGCTGTGAAATGAACCCCCGCAGTGGGACTGTCCCAGGAAAGGGAGGCATCTGGCAGGCCAAGCTACGTATCTCATTCTGAAGGCAAGGGCTGTCTGACCATGAGTGAGGATGGAAACGCCACCAGCAGCATAAGGCCAAGGGCTTGGGGCCTGATTTCCCCACTGGAGGAAAGATTTGGGGTGATATTTTCAAAGTTGTCTCGGGGTTAAGAGGCCCAATTCTCACTGTGTCTAAATCCCTTAGGCAGTGCTGAGAATATCATTCGTTCTCAAGGGTTATTGCCTGGAGGGAAGAGACAGGCCCGATCTGTTTTAATAATAATTGTCTATTGCTTAATATAAAACTACAAACCCAGAAACAGAGGGCATGTGTTGGCTCGCTCTGTTTCTGGAAGCGTGGTGTTTTTGAGCATGCTTAGTAAATCACCCTTAGACTCCCAACTACTGCTTGATGGATTGATTTTTTTAACATGACTCTTCCTGGTTTTATAGACTACAGTTCCAAGTTATTTTTGGTCACGTGATGGACGTTTCAGCCAATCGGAACGAATCCCTGGAAAAGCCTGGTCAATGCACATCGCCAGAGCTGCAGTGAGATAAGTGGGTGTGGGGCTTCCGTTCTACTTTGCTATTGAATTGCAGTTAGCGTCAGCAGGCGACTGTAAAGACGCCCCTCCATCTACAGACTTGCCCCGGGATGGATCCAGAGTCAGGGCAGTTTACTCAAGAGGCAAGCGTAAGTTTTTAGTGCCTCTCGCGCCGGTTCGCCCTGCGGAGCCAGCACAAGAGAGCTGGACTCTATTCTGGCTCATTCAAACAACGGTTAACCAAGTTCAGCTGCAGGGTCAGATCTCGTTCACCGTCCCACAAGCCCTCGGCGAACAATGGCGGTGCGGAGCTAGCACGGAGGGCAGCACTCGGCTCGCACAACCTTCAGTACTGGGGATGATGCAGGAGCCAGGAGCCCAGCTTGACACTCTGATCCCCAAACTGAGCTCCTTGGCACCTCTCCCCTTTCTCTGTCGCCACCCTCCTCCCTGGCACTCAGGCCGGGAAACTGCTCAGCTCCCACAGCCAGGCCAGGCCCAGATCGTGCTGGTTCTCCCTTCACAACATTGCCAGGATCTGGCCTTTCCTCTCTGCCCGGGTGGTTACGTCTCCCATCCCTCAGCATCTCCTGCCTCAACTCCCCCTCTGGCCTCCACGACTCCCACCTCGACCCCCACTTGGGCCCATTCAAAATGCTGCTGCTGACATCATCTGCTTGGCTTGTTCCTCTGACCATGTCTCCCCCCATCTCCCCCCTCAGGCCCTTCTCTGGCTTCCCCAGCATAACCAGGACAAGTTTCCAGTGCCCCACTCCAAGGCCCTTCGCGCCTCTGTCTCTACTGCCTAGCCACTCCCGTATCGCATTGGGTCGCCCCAAAGCCCTGTGCTCCATTGCCCACTCGTCTGCTTCTCCTGCCAGCACCAGCACGTGGAACTCTCTCCCTGCACCAAGCTGTAGGACCACTCCCCTGGTCTTTCTATCCCCTCCGCGGGGCCCACTTCTGCTGTGCCACTCTTGGGAAACTGCCAGCTGAGAGCGGCCAGTCCAGAGCCAGCAGGAATACCAGCTCCTTAACTGATCTTTGTATTAGATCCGGAGCAAAGACGGTCTGGAGTCACTTCATGACAATGACCACCAGGGGGATGTTTTTATGGGGTCATTTTTCAGAGTTTAAGGGACTGCCACTCTGTCGCAGCTCACTATAGGTAGCTCCAATCTGGAAGCACCGTAAGTAGCTCCTATATATGCAAACCAACTCAGCAAGGGCTTCAGATCAGGCCCTTCGTTTCCTTAAAAGCAGTTTTAATGCCACAGACATTCGACGCACTTTCCTGAGCATCCACCTCCAAACAGCGATTGCAGGAGACAAAGAGCACGTTCACTTTAAAACCACACCCTCATAGAGCTGACAGGACACAGCGTGGGTCTAACTGTGACCTGCCCATGCGACAAGTGGCCGTACAGTACATTACAGTGAGCCTTACACAGAAGCAGTACAAGAGAAGGGGAGTAAATCACTACGGGACAGAATGGTGGAGACTGGAGCTGTGACTGATAACAGTAACTGAGGGAGAAGAAACAGCGATAATGAATGCAAGCAACGTCAGCAGGAGCAGTTCAGTTCCCAGCTACCAAAAGGCGTAAGAACACTCAATCAGCCTATGCTACTTCGTTCCAGCCTGATCCTCCACATGGCACCTCTCCGATGGTGCACTCTCCCAATGGCAGTCACACGTGTATCTATTTTTTCATAGATTCCAAGGCCAGAAGGGACCAGGGTGATCATCTAGTGAGACCGCCTCTGTAACACAGCCCAGTAGGGTGACCAGATGTCCCGATTTTATAGGGACAGTCCCGATATTTGGGGCTTTTTTTTATATGGGCTCCTATTACCCCCCACCCCCTGTCCTGATTTTTCACACTTGCTGTCTGGTCACCCTACAGCCCAGAGACCTGCCCCCAGACAATTCTTAGAGGAGATCATTTAGAAAACCATCCAATCTGGATTTATTTAGGTTCTTACCACGCCTATCACCCCAGTCTCCAAGGATGGCAAAAAATCAGGGGAGATCCAAGAGCAGAACCTTGCCCTGAAATTGGATAGTATCAACTCTCATGATATTACTGGAAGTCTTGCAATTCTTGGTGGTGTTCTTAAAGCCCCAGCGCCTGGAGTCAGGTTATTAAGCAAGACTCCCAGCTTTCATTAAAGGAAAAAAGTAAATTTCTAGTCCTCGTGATTGCACAGAAAAGCCTGAAAACATGACTCCCTACAGGCTCAAAACCCAGAAAGGCAACAAAAAGGAGCCTCAGATTTTTGTTGTTGTTGAATATCTCATGATTTTTAAGACAATCTTGTGATGGGGGGAAGGGGAAGAGTCACAATTTTCACATGCTTGATGTTGGTGATGCTGAGATAATGATTGGGGTGGGGGAGGGGGAAATGTTCTCCAGGGCATTGTTAGCCACTCGATTAATTGTCCTGGAAGAAGCGGGATTACAAGGATGTGGTGAGTAATGGGGGAGGACAAGTAACAAGAGACCCATTCCTTAAGAGCGGCATTAGTGTAGAGGGAACTTGGCATTACTGGTTTAGATCTACAGGCCAAGCTGACCCCCAGGCTGAGGGCCAGCACGAGGCCTAGACACCACATAAGTCCTGCTAGAGTCCTATGGCCCCAGGCTGGCACTCTGCACCCAGGCTGCATTTCACCTCAGGAGGGATGTAACCTTAGCTGGGAGCTCACGATGCTCATCCTCATGTAAGCATCAGGAATAAGGACTTGCAGATATGCTTGTCCAGTCTCCTGGCAGCCTGTGAGCACAGCTGGGCCACGGCAGGGCCACCTGGTTGACCGCTCTGCTTGACTGACAAGGAAGTCAGCAAGCCTGCTATGAAGCCCAACAGCAAAACTGCTCTTTGGCTGCTCAATGCACTTGACTGAAGCTGCAATTTCTACGGTGTCTGCCTTGCTCCCACCTCAAGAACATAATGGCCACAGTGGGTCAGACCAATGGTCCACCTAGCCCGGTATCCTGTCTTCTGACAGTGGCCGGTGCCAGATGCTTCAGAGGGAATGAACAGAACTGGGCAATTTCAAGCGATCCATCCCCTGTCGTCCAGTGCCAGCTGCTGGCAGTCAGAAATTTTGGGACCCCTCAAAGCTTGGTTTTGCATCTTTGACCATCTTGGCTAATAAACATTGATGGCCTATCCTCAATGAACTTATCTACCTCTTTTTTGAACCCAGTTATACTTTTGGTCTTTACAACACCCCCTGGCAGTGAGATCCACAGGTTGACTGTGCATTGTGTGAAGAAACACTTTCTTCTGTTTGTATACTTTCAACCTGCTGCCCATTAATTTCATTGGGTGACCCCTGGTTCTTGTATTATGGGAAGGGGTAAACAGCACTTCCCTATTCACTGTCTCCTCACCATTCATGATTTTATAGACCTCTGTCATAAGCTGTCCCTTAGTCAAAGATGAATAGTCCCAATCATTTTAAACTCTCCCCCTATGGAAGCTGTTCCATACCCCTAATAATTTTTGTTGCCCTTCTCTGTACTTTTTATAAGTGTAATGTATCTTTTTTGAGATGGGGTGACCAGAACTACACGCAGTATTCCAGATGTGGGCACATCATGGATTTATATAGTGGCAGTATGATATATTCTGTCTTATCTAGCCCTTTCCTAATGGTTCCTAATAGTCTGTTCGCTTTTTTGGCTGCCGGTGCACATTGAGTGGATGTTTTCAGAGAACTATCCACAGTGACTCCAGGATCTCTTTCTGGAGTGGTTACCAGCTAATTTAGACCCCATCATTCTGTATGTATAGTTGGGATGATGTTTTCCAACGTGCGTTACTTTGCACTTATCAACATTGAAATTCATCTGCCATTTTGTTGCCCCGTCACTCAGTTTACTGAGTTCCCCTTGTAACTCCTCGCAGTCAGCATTGGACTTAACAATCCTGAATAATTTTGTTTCATCGGCGAATTTTGCCATCTCACTGTTCACCCCCTTTTCCCCACATCATTTATGAACATGTAGAACAGCCCTGGTCCCAGGACAGATCCTTGGGGGA